AGGTAAATCCATCTGGCAGGGGGTTTTGTTCTTGGGTAGTTTTTTGATTACTGCTTCAATTTCTTTGCTGGTAATTGGTGTGCTTAGATTTTCTGTTTCTTTCTGGGTCAGTCATGGAAGGTTGTATTTTTCTAGGAAGTTGTTCATTTCTCCTAGGCTTTCCAGCTTGTTAGCATATAGGTTTTCATAGTATTCTCTAATAATTCTTTGTATTTCTGTGGGGTCTGTTGTGATTTTTCCTTTCTCGTTACTGATTCTGTTGATGTGTGTTGATTCTCCTTTTCTCTTTAATAGGTCTGCTTAGAGGCTTATCTATTTTGTTTATTTTCTCAAAGAACCAGCTCTTGGTTTCATTGATTTTTTCTATTGTTTTATTCTTCTCAATTTTATTTATTTCTTCTCTGATCTTTATTATGTCCCTCCTTCTGCTGACCTTAGGCCTCATTTGTTCTTCTTTTTCCAATTTCGATAATTGTGACATTAGACTATTTATTTGGGATTGTTCTTCCTTCTTTAAATATACCTGGGTTGCTATATACTTTCCTCTTAAGACTGCTTTTGCTGCATCCCACAGAAGTTGGGGCTTTGCGTTGTGGTCATTTGTTTCCATATATTGCTGGATCTTCATTTTAATTTGGTCATTGATCCATTGATTATTTAGGAGCGTGTTGTTAAACCTACATGTGTTTGTGAGCCTTTTGCTTTCTTTGTACAATTTGTTTCTAGTTTTATACCTTTGTGGTCTGAAAAGTTGGTTGGTAGAATTTCAATCTTTTTGAATTTACTGAGGCTCTTTTTGTGGCCCAGTATGTGGTCTCTTCTGGAGAATATTCCATGAGCACTTGAGAAGAATGTGTATCCTGTTGGTTTTGGATGTAGAGTTTTATAGATGTCTATTAGGTCCATCTGTTCCAGTGTGTTGTTCAGTACCTCTGTGTCCTTGCTTATTTTCTGTCTGGTGGATCTGTCCTTTGGAGTGAGTGGTGTGTTGAAGTCTCCCAAAATGAATGCATTGCATTCTATTTCCTCCTATAATTGTTAGTATTTGTTTCACATATGTTGGTGCTCCTGTATTGGGTACATATATATTTAGAATGGTTATATCCTCTTGTTGGACTGAGCCCTTTATCATTATGTAATGTCCTTCTTTATCTCTGGTTACTTTCTCTGTTTTGAAGTCTATTTTGTCTGATACTAGTACTGGAACACCTGCTTTGTTCACCCTGTTGTTTGCATGAAATATCTTTTTCCATCCCTTGACTTTTAATCTGTGCATGTCTTTGGGTTTGAGATAAGTCTCTTGTAAGCAGCATATAGGTGCGTCTTGCTTTTTAATCCATTGTATTACTCTGTGTCTTTTGATTGGTGCATTCAGTCCATTTACATTTAGGGGGATTATTGAAAGATATGTACTTATTGCCATTGCAGGCTTTAAGTTTGTGGTTACTAAAGGTTCAAGGTTATCTTCTTTACTATCTTACTGTCTAACTTAACTCCTTATTGAGCTATTATAAACACTGTCTGATGACTCATTTCTCTCCCTTCTTATTCCTCCTCCTCCATTCTTCATATGTTGGGTGTTTTGTTCTGTGCTCTTTTTAGGAGTGTTCCCATCTAGAGCAGTCCCTGTAAAATACCCTGTAGAGGTGGTTTGTGGGAGGCAAATTCCTTCAACTTTTGCTTGTCTGGGAATTGTTTAATCCCTCCTTCATATTTAAATGATAATCATGCTGGATACAGTATCCTTGGTTCAAGGCCCTTCTGTTTCATTGCATTAAATGTGTCATGCCATTCTCTTCTGGCCTGTAAGGTTTCTGTTGAGAAGTCTGATAATAGCCTGATGGGTTTTCCTTTGTAGGTGACCTTTTTTTTCTCTCTGGCTGCCTTTAATACTCTGTCCTTGTCCTTGATCTTTGCCATTTTAATTATTATGTGTCTTGGTGTTGTCCTCTTTGGGTCCCTTGTGTTGGGAGTTCTGTGTGCTTCTGTGGTCTGAGCAACTATTTCCTCCCCCAGTTTGGGGACGTTTTCAGCAATTATTTCTTCAAAGACACTTTCTATCCCCTTTTCTCTCTCTTCTTCTGGTACCCCTATAGTGCAGATATTGTTCCTTTTGGATTGGTCACACAGTTCTCTTAATATTGTTTCATTTCTGGAGATCCTTTTATCTCTCTCTGCATCAGTTTCTTTGCATTCCTGTTCTCTGGTTTCTATTTCATTAATGGCCTCTTGCATCCCATCCATTCTGCTTTTAAGTCCTTCCAGAGATTGTTTTATTTCTGTAGTCTCCCTCTGTACTTGTTCCTTTAGCTCTTAAATATTTCTCTGCAGATCTGTCAGCATGTTTATGATTTTTATTATGAATTCTTTTTCAGGGAGACTGGTTAGGTCTATCTCTGCAGATCCTCTCTCAGGGGTTGTCTGGACTATTTTGGACTGGACTAAATTTTTCTGCCTTTTCATGGTGATAGCAGTGGCTGTAGGCAGGTTGTGGGTGTGTCAGCTGGGAAAAGAGTCCTTTCCTGCTTGCTGGACACCTTGCCCTTCTGGGCTGCCTATGTCGGTTACCCGCACTCCTGGAGCAGCCACTGGGTTAATCCCCTAAGCTGCTGTGGTTGGGGTGTCCATCAGATTAGTGCAGAGCACTGCGGGGAGTGGCAGGCACGCTGGGTGCACTCCTCTGTGACAGCAGCACCCGTGCCGGGCAGCTGTGTGCCAGCAGTGACCTTTGGGTCTGGCCCAGGTGGTTGTGTTTTGGGCTGGGATTCTGGTCGGCTGCTGGGAGCATGGCTGCTCCTGGGCTGCTCCTCTGCCACCGCTGCCTGCTCCCGCGGGCTGCTCCCAGGTCCCTCTGGTGCCGCGGGTGCCGGTGCATGTGGGACACCCACGGCGCATGCTGCCACTCTCCCACTACTGGGCCAGTGTGTCAGGGTCCGCGCCAGTTGGGGGGAAGACTGGCAGGCTGCTGAGTGCCGTGAGGGGCTTCAGAGCTACACTGCCGCCCAGCGGGTTAGGGTGCCTAGAGTTCCCTAGGATTCCCAGCTGCTGGCTAGGTGTGCCAGGACAACTTCATCCAGCTGTGGGGTCCCTGTCTCTTTAAGACTTGCAAAAAGCACTCTCTATTCTTTTGTCTCAGGGGTGCCGGTTGCAGGGACCTGCCCGCAGGTTTTGCTTTTCCATTTCTCTAATATCCACCTGCCCTGTGCAACATGTATCTGTGCTCCGGGTCCGGATTTCTAGAGCTGGTTGTTTAGCAGTCCTGGGCTTTCACTCCCTCCCCATTCCGACTCCTTTCTTCCCGCCGGGTTCTGGGGTGGGGGGGGCGGGCATTTGGGTCCCACTGAGCCGTGGCTTGTATCTTACCCCCTTCATGTAATGTTGAGTTCTTGCAGATGTAGATGTAGCCTGGCTGTTGTATTGTATCCACTGGTGTCTCTTTTAGGAATAGTTGTGTTTATTGTATTTTCATAAACACATATGTTTTTGGGAGGAGATTTCCACTGAACTACTCATGACACCATCTTGGCTCTGCCCCCAATATACGTTTTTGTTACATATAGTAACAAGCTTGACATTATATTTTTTTTATTTAAAAAAATTTTTAATTAAGGTATGATGGATATACACTCTTATGGAGGTTTCACAAGAAAAAACAATGTGGTTACTACACTTACCCATATTATCAAGTCCCCACCCATACCCCAATGCAGTCACTGTCCATCAGTGCAGCAAGTTGCCAGAGATCGACTATGTCCCTTCTCTGTGATGCACTGTTCTCCCCGTGATCCCCCACACCATGTGTACTAAACATAATACCCCTCAGTCCCCTTCTCCCTCCCTCCCTACCCGCCGTCCCACACCCCTCCCCTTTGGTAACCACTAGTTTGTTCTTGGAGTCTCTGAGTCTGCTGCCATTTTGATCCTTCAGTTTTGCTTCATTGTTATACTCCACAAATGAGGGAAATCATTTGGTCCTTTTCTTTCTCTGCCTGGCTTATTTCACTAAGCCTAATGTCCTCTAGCTCCATCCATGTTGTTGCAAATGGTAGGATTTGTTTTCTTATGGCTGCATAACATCCCATTGTGTATATGTACCACATCTTCTTTATCCATTCTTCTACTGATGGACACTTAGATTGCTTCCATATGTTGGCTACTGTAAAAAGTGCTGCGATAAACATAGGGGTGCATATGTCTTTTTGAATCTGAGAAGTTGTATTCTTTGGGTATATTCCAAGGAGTGGGATTCCAGGGTCAAATGGTATTTCTATTTTTCGTTTTTTGAGGAACCTCCATATTGCTTTCCACAATGGTTGAACTAGCTTGCATTCCCACCAGCAGTGTAGGAGGGTTCCCATTTCTCCGCATCCTTGCCAGCATTTGTTGTTCTTAGTCTTTTTGATGCTGGCCATTCTTACTGGTGTGAGATGATAGCCTATTGTGGTTTTAATTTGCATTTCCCTGATGATTAGTGATGTGGAGCATCTTTTTCTGTGTCTGTTGGCCATCTTCATTTCTTCTTTGGAGAAGTGTTTCTTCATATCCTCTGCCCATTTTTTAATCGGGTTATTTGCTTTTTGGGTGTTGAAGTGTGTAAGTTCTTTATATAGTTTGGATGTTAACCCCTTGTCAGATATGTCATTTACAAATATATTCTCCCATACTGTAGGATGCCTTTTTGTTTTGTTGATAATGTCCTTTGCCGTACAAAAACTTTTTAGTTTGATGTAGTCCCATGAGTTCATTTTTGCTTTTGTTTCCCTTTCTCAAGGACATGGGTTCAGGAAGAATTTGCTCATGCTTATATTCAGGAGATGTTTGCCTATGTTGTCTTCTAGGAGTTTTATGGTTTCATGACTTACATTCAGATCTTTGATCCATTTCGAGTTTACTCTTGTGTATGGGGTTAAACAATAATCCAGTTTCATTCTCTTGCATGTAGCTGGCTTGACATTATTTTTAATACAGGATGACTTAATGTAGGTACTTTGAGACTTCCCTTTTAGAAACAATACATTTTATTTTGGAGGGAAATAGCTCATTAAAGAGATACATGGATACATGGACAATTATTTTTCAGTACTTCAGCATTTATGAATGCCAAACTTGGACAGCGTATCTGCCAAACTGAAAACTTGGTCCTCTAAAATACATAAGTATTCCTCCTATAACAAAAATAAATTAAACTATATTGTTGACAAAACACAAATATTTGGTATAGGCCAATATTTGGTAAGTGAGCTTGCAAAATGAATTAGAATGTGTTTTAATTGTACAGAGGAACATTCTAGAATCCACCTAGAAACATTTGGCAGAACAACTGGCCTGGTGCTACTGAGGTTGTTCTGCCTCAAATGCAGATGGACAGTGCATGGGAGGGTGCTGAAGACTCACAACAGTCAAAGAATAGTTACTCAAAATTAATCAAAATTCAATATAGAATAATATACAGCAATACTAGAACAATCTCAACAGTTATTCAATGCCTGGAAATCAAGTTGTAAGCTTAGGACAAAAACCTCAGAAGAAACACTATTCAACATGTTTATAACACTTTGAAGATGAAAAGAATTCATCATTCATGGATGATACCTTGTGCACAAGTATATCAGTTGACAGGATATTGAGAACAATCACAAAACATACAATGTAAGAATAAATCCAAACTGTTTACCCTTCTACCATTCTCTTAAGTATTAAACCCAGACCCCCTTTGGCCACTTGTAGGGGTGTCTTTTCTTCTTTGTTCTCAATGTAAATACTTGCTCCCTGGGATACCAGCAGTTTTGCTTCTTCCACTCTCTCCTCATCACAGGCTAAGTGTCTGAAATTGAGGACCACAAAGACTGGTTAATAACTACCAATTCTCGGTAATGGTTAGGATTTTCTGAGAGGCAATCTAAATTGCACACCATTAGGTGGTCTAATATTGAAAAGTCATTTAATCAGGAAAGGAAAATCAATTTGCAGAAACAATGTTTTTAAGTTAAAATTCAGTGGAGTAGTCTCATAATACCAGATCATAAATCATAAATCAAGTCCTATTACAATAGAAGGAATCTAAATGCCAGACTAAGGAACAACTTCCTTATTCTATGGAAAGTAGAAGTAGTTTATACAAATATATACAGTAATTCATGGCTAGAATTTAGAAAAGCCCTAATTCATAATCTGCTAATAGCAATTTGTGTGGTTTAAACTTTGGAAAAGGAATTTAAAAGATCTTATCTCATTTGACCTTTATACACATCTTATAAGTTAGCAAGGTGTTATATCACCATTTTACAGTTAAAATTGTATCAGAGGTTAAAGTCTTTGCCTGTGATGTCATGGCTGAGCAGTAACTGAGGGGCAACCCTTGTTAAGCACTTACAGTTTATCATGCAGGGTATTAGGTACTTTACATGTTATTTTATTTAAGCCTCATAACAATTTAGTGAGGCAGGAATTATTATTATAGATGTGGAGGATAAGACATAGGGTAATTTCTCCAAGTTACTCAATGTATGTAATATAATTGGTAAGTGGCTAAGTTTGGATTGGATAAACAGCATCTACTATTCCTAAATACTAGGCTCTTCCCAGGATCCTATAGATCAGAACTGCAGGAAATATTTTTAAAACTAAGAGTTAAAGATACAATACTTTTTAAAAAGTTGAATCTCACTTTAGACTACAAGAAAGACTTGAATTTTTAGTTCAAAAGTCAAAAGAAAAGTAGTCAAGTACTGTAGAAAAAATATCAAGGGAAAGGATGGCTTCAGGTAATACATATAAATGAATTCCAGGTGGATGGGAGTTAAATGAAAAACAGTAACTCTCAAACCAAACCAATGCAATATTAAAGAAAAAACCTACTATAAAATATAGGTGAATATTTAACTAATTTCAGTGTGAGGAAGGACTTCTTACTCATGAGGGAAGATTAATAGGTTTGACTACACTGAGGTTGAAAACTTGCGTTTTAAAAAAATCATGAACAACCTGAAAGGACAAACTGAGAAAATCATTTTCAACTAACATGGCAGAAGGTTAATATATTTATGTTGAGGATATTTAAATATCAGTAAAAATAAGTTAATTCCTCAAAAGAAACACAAAAAATTACAATTTAGAAATGAAATACAACTAATTGTAGGCATTAAAAAATGTTTAATTTCAGTGACAATGAAAAATGTAAATTACAACTATGAAACACTGCTTTTCATATACAAAAGGATATTTTCAGGGTTGGTGAGGAGGTAGTGGGCCCTCTTAAACTGCTGCTGGGAGAGTACAATGATACAACTCCTCTGGAAACAACTCAGCAATATATAGCAATAGTCTTAATATGTGTATATTTGTTGACCCAGCAATTCTATTTCTAGAAGTCCATACTAAGGCAATAATCAGCAACATACCCACAGACTTTGGTATAAAGTTGGTCAATGCAGCATAATTTATAATACTGAGAAACTCAAAAAAGTTTAAATATATAATAAGAGGAATAATTAAATTTTTATATATCCATAAAATGGAATTCTATAGAGCCATTCAAAAATGTTTAAAAAATATGAAATAATGTTGGTAAATGCTCACAATATACTATGAGGTGAAAAGAGTAAGATATAAAACTATATATATAATATGACCTCAATTATGCAAAAATATGTAAAATATGTACATACAGAAGACTAGAAGTAAATACACAAAAATGTTATCAGTGGTTATTTCTGGATGGCAAGATGATAGGCAATTTTAATCTTTTTTTGGCATTTTTTTATTAAGGTATCATTGATATACACTCTTATGAAGGTTTCACATGAAAAAAACAATGTGGTTATTACATTCACCAATATTACCATGTCCCCCCCCATACTCCATTGGAGTCATTGCCCATCACTATAGTCAGATGCCACAGAGTCACTGTTTGCCTTCTCAGTGCTACACTGTCTTCCCGCAACACCATGTGTGCCAATGATAATACTCCTCAATCCCCTTGTTCCTTCCTCCCCACCTATCCTCCCCCACCCCTCCCCCACCCCTCCCCTTTGGTAACTACTAGTCCCTTCTTGGAGTCTGTGAGTCTATTGCTGTTTTGTTCCTTCAGTTTTCCTTCGTTGTTTTACTCCACAAATGAGGGAAATCATTTGGTATTTGTCTTTCTCTGTCTTTTGTGGTTCCATATGAATTTTAGAATTATTTTCTCTAGTTTGTTGAAGAATGCTGTTGGTATTTTGACAGGAATTGCATTGAATGTGTAGATTGCTTTACACAGGATGGCCATTTTGACGATATTAATTCTTCCTATCCATGAGCACGGGATGTGTTTCCATTTATTGGTATCTTCATATTTCTCTGAATGTCTTGGAGGTTATAGAGATAGGTCTTTCACTTCCTTGATTAGGTTTATTCCTAGGTATTTTTTTTTTTGATGCAATTGTGAGTGGAATTATTTTCCTGATTTCTCTTTCTGCTAGTTCATCGTTACGGTATAGGAAGGCAACAGATTTCTGTGTATTAATTTTGTATCCTGCAACTTTGCTGAATTCAGATATTAAATCTACTAGGTTCGGAGTGGATTCTTTAGGGTTTTTTATGTATAACATCATGTCTTCTGCAAACAGGGACAGTTTAACTTCTTCTTTACTAATCTGGATGCCTTTTATTTCTTTGTGTTGTCAGATTGCCATGGCGAGGACCCCCCAGAACTATGTTGAATAAAAGTGGAGAGAGTGGGCACCCTTGTCTTGTCCCCAATCTTAAAGGAAAGGCTTTCAGCTTCTTGCTGTTAAGTATGATGTTGCTGTGGGTTTTTCATATATGGCCTTTATTACGTTGAGGTACTTGCCCTCTATACCCATTTTGTGGAGAGTTTTTTCTCATGAATGGATGTTGAATTTCATCAAATACTTTTTCAGCATCTATGGGGATGATCATGTGGTTTTTGTCCTTCCTTATGTTGATGTGGTGGATGATGATGATGGATTTTCTAATACTGTACCGTCCTTGCATCCCTGGAATAAATCCTACTTGATCATGATGGATGATCTTTTTGATGTATTTTTGAATTTGGTTTGTTAATATTTTGTTGAGTATGTTTGCATCGGTGTTCATCAGGGATATTGGTCTGTAATTTTCTTTTTTGATGGTGCCTTTGCCTGGTTTTGGTATTAGGGTGATGCTGACCTCGTAGAATGAGTTTGGAAGTATTCCCTCCTCTTCTACTTTTTGGAAAGCTTTAAGGAGAAGGGGTATTAGATCTTCACTAAATGTTTGATAAAATTCAGTGGTGAAGCCATCTGGTCCAGAGATTTTGTTCTTAGGTAGTTTTTTGATTACCAATTCAATTTCATTGCTACTAATTGGTCTGTTCAGATTTTCTATTTTTTTCTGGGTCAGCCTTGGAAGGTTGTATTTTTCTAGAAAGTTGTCCATTGTTCTAGTTTGTCCAGTTTGTTAGCATATAATTTTTCATAGTATTCTCTCATAATTCTTTGTATTTCTTTGGTGTCCATTGTGATTTTTCCCTTCTCATTTTTGATTCTGTTTATGTGTATAGACTTTCTTTGTTTCTTGACAAGTCTGACTAGGGGTTTATCTATTTTGTTTATTTTCTTGAAGAACCAGCTCCTGCTTTTATTGGTTCTTTCTATCATTTTATTCCTCTCAATTTTATTTATTTCTGCTCTAATCTTTATTATGTCCCTTCTTCTACTGACTTTGGGCCTCATTTGTTCTTCTTTTCCTAGTTTTGTTAATTGTGAATTCAGACTGCTCATATGGGATTGTTCTTCTTTCCTCAGGTAGGCATGTATTGCAATATACTTCCCTCTTAGCACGGTCTTTGCTGCATCCCACAGATTTTGCAGTGTTGAATTATTGTTGTCATTTGTCTCCATATATTTCTTGATCTCTGTTTTTATTTGGTCATTGATCCATTGGTTATTTAGGAGCATGCTGTTAAGCCTTCATGTGTTTGTGAGTTTTTTCATTTTCTTTGTGTAATTTATTTATAGTTTCATACCTTTGCGGTCTGAGAAGCTGGTTGGTACTATTTCAGTCTTTTTGAATTTACCGAGATTCTTTTTGTGGCCTAGTATATGACCTATTCTTGAAAATGTTCCATGTGCACTTGAGAAGAACGTGTATCCTGCTGCTTTTGGGTGTAGAGTTCTGTAGATGTCTGTTAGGTCCATCTGTTCTAATGTATTGTTCTGTACCTCTGTCTCCTTACTTATTTTCTGTCTGGTTATCTGTCCTTTGAAGTGAGTGGAGTGTTGAAGTCTCCTAGAATGAATGCATTACGTTCTAGTTCCCCTTTCAATTCTGTATTTGTTGCACATATGTAGGTTCTGTGTTGGGTGCATAAACATTTATAATGGTTATATCCTCTTGTTGGATTGACACTTTTATCATTATGTAATGCCCTTGTCTCTTGTGACTTTCTGTTTTAAGGTCTATTTTGTCTGATACAAGTACTGCAACTCCGACTTTTTTCTCCCTATTGCATGAAATATCTTTTTCCATCCCTTCACTTTTAGTCTGCATATGTCTTTGGGTTTGAAGTGAGTCTCTTGTAGGCAGTATACAGTTGGGTCTTGTTTTTTTATCGATTCAGTGACTCTATGTCTTTTGATTGGTGCACTCAAACCATTTACATTTAGGGTGATCATTGATAGGTATGTCCTTAGTGCGATTGCAGGCTTTAGATTCATGGTTACCAAAGGTTCAAGGGTAACTTCCTTACTATCTAAGAGTCTAAATTAACTCACTTATTATGCTATTTCAAACATAATCTAAAGATTCTTTGTATATTAGGTATCATATTCTGTATGCTTTGTCTATCCCTTGACTGACTTTGGGGGTAGTTGATTTAATTTTGCATTTGCTTAGTAAATAACTGTTCTACTTTCTTTACTGTGGTTTTATTACCTCTGGTGGCTGCTATTTAATCTTAGAAACACTTCCATCTATAGCAATCCCTCCACAATATACTGTAGAGATGGTTTGTGGGAGGTAAATTCTCTCAGCTTTTGCTTATCTGGAAATTGTTTAAGCCCTCCTTCAAATTTACATGATAATCTTGCTGGATAAAGTATTCTTGGTTTGAGGCCCTTCCGCTTCTTTGATTAAATATGTCATTCCATGCCCTCTGGCCCATAAGGTTTCTGCTGAGACGTCTGATGATACGTGATGAGCTTTCCTTTGTATGGGATCTTTTTTCTCTCTCTGGCTGCTTTTAATAGTCTGTCCTTATCCTTGATCTTTGCCATTTTAATTATTATATGTCTTGGTGTTGTTTCCTTGGGTCCCTTGTGTTGGGAGATCTGTTCACATCATGGCCTGAGAGACTATCTCTGTCCCCAGATTGGGTTCAGCAATTGCTTCCTGAAAGACACTTTCTATCCCTTTTTCTCTGTCTTCTTCTGGTACAATTTGGATTGGTCACACAGTTCTCAGTATTCTTTTATTCCTAAAGATCCTTTTTTCTCTGTGCTTCAGCTTCTTTCTATTCCTCTTTTCTAATTTCTATTTCATTTATTATCTCCTCTACCATATCTAATCTGCTTTTTAAACCCTCCATTGTGTTCCTCAATGATTGGATAGCCATCCTAAATTCATTCCTGAGTTTTTGAATATTTTGGTGTACCTCCAGGAGCATGTTTATGATTTTTATTTTGAAATCTCTTTCAGGAAGATTGATTAGTTCAGTCTCACTTGACCCTTCTTCTGGTGTTTGTGAGATTTTGCTTTGAACCAGGTTCCTTTGACTTTTGATATCTGTATGTGGTGCCCTCTAGTGCCCAGAAGCTCTACTCTCTGGAGCTGCTCAGCCCCTGGAGCGATGTTGGGGGGGGGCCACAGGGGAGTGGTGCTGGTGCATAGGGGGAGGGAGAGGTGTTTCCTGCTTCCCGGCTGCTATGCCTGTCTCCACTACCAGAACCACTGGGCCGAACACAGAGCTTTGCATGTGTAGCTGCTGTACATGGGGCTTCCCTCTGGCTGGCCTGACACCAGGGCAGGGTTTGCTGCTTTGCAAGCCAGGTGCAGGCTGGCTGGGAGGAAGGTGCAGCAGGCTGAGTATCACGGTGGGAGGGCCCTGGAACTGCGTAGGCAGCCAGAGGGATGGAACATCTGAAAATCCTGAAAGTTCCCAACCTGCTGGGCAGAGTACACCTGGACAATTTTTTCTACCTGTCTTTTCTCCTGAGCAGTAAGCTCTGTGCAATCCTTGCCCCTTTAGCAGCCCTCTCCCTGTTAGGAAGTCTCTCAGACTGCCCACCCAGAACAACCAGATATGGATCCCTGTTTTCCACAAGCAGCTGGCATCTCAGTCTCTCCAGGTATTCTGCCTGTCTTAGCTTCCCAGCCCCACTAATCACCAGAGCATCATGCAATGTAGGTTCATGCTCCCAAAGCAGATCTCCAGGGCTAGGTGTTCAGCAGTCCCTGGCCTCCACTCCCTTCCTGCTCTGTTTCTCTTCCTGCTGCAGTGAGCTGGCATCGAGGAAGGGCTTGGGTCCTGCTGGGTCATGGCTTTGATACATTACCCTGTTCCATGAGGTCTATTCTTTTTTCCAGGTGTATGCAGTCTGGCGCAGCCTTCTTTCCTGTTGCTCTTTCAGGATTAGTTGTATTAATTATATTTTCATATTATATGTGGTTTTAGGAGGAGGTCTCTGTCTCACCTCTCATGCCTTCATGTTTAATCCTGTGGCATTTTTATATACATATAATGAACTAGCTATGGGTAAGCCACAGACATGGGTTCCAAAGACAGGGAGAAGGAGGTATGTATGTCATCCTCAACCAGGTGAAGCGGGCAGCAGCTGGCAATTTTAATTTTTATCTTTATACTTTTGGTGCTTTCAGATTTCTTTGCCATAAACATGTATTACATTTATAAGCAGAATAAAAAAAAGAAATGATCTGTAAGAATTAGTGCAAGAAGGCTAATATCAGGTAGAATACAAATGACTGCTACTTGTCACTTACAGAGGAGTGTTACCCTCAGTGTCTTGGATGTTTGTGGATGCTTTGTAGTACAGAAGGATATGAATCATCTTCAAGTTACCCTTGGCTGCCGCCCGGTGCATTGCTGTAGCCTCATAATGGTCTTTAGCATCTGGGTTAGCCCCGCCTTCCAGTAACATGACAGCGATCTGGAAAGGTGGAGAAGTAAACAATGCAGGGATCTATTTGTGTTTGTGTACAGGTTTAGAACTCAAAAGAAGTAGTAGCTCAGAAATGGAAGCCTACCTCATGCCTGTTTTTGGAAGCTGCATAATGTAGGGGTGTACAGCCATTCTGATTGACAGCATTCACTTGTGCACCTTTTCCTAGAAGGGCTTTTACAATCTCATCCCGGCCAGCAGAAGCAGCAATATGAAGAGGAGACCAACCTGCCTGTAAGAGGTGGACAGTACAAAAACCAAGGGGGAAAAGGCACAGGAATTAATGCTAACATTTAGGCAGGGTTTATGAAGAGCTGCGTGTGAATTGTTTAAAAAATAACATTCTATTTCCCTCATTATGTACTGCAGAAAATTTGGAAAGCAGATGTATACAAAAGAAAAGAAAAACCACCCATAATTCCCTAACACAGAGACAATAATATGTAGATCTAATTCTAATGTTTTCTGAAATTGGGATCACAGGATATAAGGTTCAATGCATTGCATATTCCACAATTTCCACTTACCATTTTGTTGTGAGAATTTTTCTGTGTCATTCTTTGGAATCATAACCTTACTGGTTGCATATTATCTTATATGGATATACCTACTGCATTCAACCATCCCTACACTAAGTTGTTTTTATTTCTTTGCTATTCAAAATATCAATTCAGTGAAAAAAAAATTTTCCATCCTATTCTTTAGAAGTCTTACATTAGCATAACCAATGACATTATAATATATCTCTATGTAACAAAAAAGGTATCTAAATTCTCATTATTCAGACAATACTGACCCCCCAAAATTCCAATATAATATAAGGCATTTGTAGTCTTATAGAGGTCACTGAAGTCAGCCTTAATCTATGTTTCCCTTAAATTACAGGGTATGAGTGTCAAAATTAACATTCTAAAATAATGCAGCCATGAGTCTTACGGTTGGTCCCTGGGGCCAAGCTGTAACTTCTTAGTCATAAAGGCTACAGTTTTGTTTATGAGGTTAATATTCAGTCTTCAGTAAATACCAGTCTGGAGTCTAAAGATAACTGGGTATTTATCAACTCTGCCTAGTACTCACATCATCTTTATCATTCACTGGCACTCCAAGTTGTAGTAAGAATTCAACAATTTCTGTATGTCCAGCTGAGCATGCCCAGTGCAATGCAGTTCTGCTGTCCTACATGGGGAAAGAGAAGCAATACAATCACCATTCTTGAAGAGAAATACAAGAACTAAGGCAAGAAGGCAGAAAAAATTAATTTGGGGGTCAGCAAACCTAGTTTGGAAACAAGAAATGGAGAGCACTGGATCCTCAGGTAGGTAATGTTAAACCATTTACTTATTAGAGTAAGAGAGCACAAGGTTTTAGTAATATGGGGAGAATACACTGATGAATGTAAGTATTTCTGGGCAAAATAAAAAGCCATGAAAGCAGAAGAGCAAAAAACTGATTTCAATGCTTTGGCACAAATAGAACTTGGGCTGTTTACTATTACAGTATTTATGTCCTTCTATGCTGGACACTGCTAGGAGTTTTACATGCATCACCTCACTTAATCCCCATGATTTTGTACAGTGGATATTATCCCCATTTTACAGATGAGGCTACTAAGACTCCTCAGGGTGAGCAACTTGTTCAAGGTCACACAGCTAGAAAACGGCAAAGTTGAGACACAAATACCTGTCTGACCCTGAAATTTCTAGGTGCTCTAGAAAGAATAGATGAATCCTATGGGAAAGAAACATTCTTAAAACTAGTTGAGATTATCTGTATAACCATTTAAAATATATACCATACAAAGAATTAGAGAGCAACATTACTTAAAAAAAATAAGCTAGGAATTAGTCAGGTTTCTCAAAAGGAATCTCTTTTTGCACTGACTGCTATATTTCTTAGCCCTATGTAAAAGAAAATGGTATTTTAAACTTTATTATAAAAAACTTCAAACACATAAAAATAGAGGGAATATAATATATGACCATCACCTAGGCTTAAAAGTTATTTTGCCAGGTTTGCTTCATCTAGTTTTTCTCCCTGTTGAGGTTTTTAAAAACAAATCCTAAATATCATGACTTTTCATCCTTAAATATTATTTCAGTATGTAAAAAATAAGGATACTTTCCTACATAGCTATGAGACCATTACATCTGTTAAAATTAACACTAACTCCTTTATAATATATAATACCTAGTCTGTATGCAGATTTCCCCAACTGGTGCCCAAATGTCTTTTTGCAGTTGGCCTGTTGTAGTCAGTATCCATACAAGGTCCATAAGTATTTGATTATTAGGCTTCTTAAGGCTCTTTATCTTGAGTAACTTCTCCCTTTCTTAAGCCATTGACTTGAAGAATGGCTGTATTATTGAATCTTAATTTAATATTATTAAATTAAATTTAAAGTATTAAACATTACAGACCACAACGGAAGTTGACTGCCATTTTCAGGTTGGGCAATAAAGGAAAATTCCAGAAAAAGTCTGACTTCTAGTCTTCCTGAAGACATTAAATGCAGATTTATAAATACATGACACTGCCCTGTCAGTGCTTAGCACAGTTCCTATCAAATAGGATGCAATGTATAAATATTTGTTAGTTTACTGAGGGCACCATTGATCTTTCTAGAAACTCTGGGTGAACGCATGAAGGTCCTTTGAGGAGGAGGGCAGAAACACTCGCGAAGTCCATTCACTGTTTGTTCCTCCTCTGCCTAGAATGTCCATTCATGCCCCAGGAAAATCCCACTCCGCCTTCAAGGTCTAACCAACCTTCCTTCTTTTGCAAAGCCTTTTCCAATTACAACACTCGCATTTTTAAGGGAGATTAAATCATGTTCTCCCACGGACATACGATTTGAGATTACTTAATGTTTGCCTTCCCCGCTCGACTGTATCCCCAGCTCCTAACAAACTGCCTGGTACACAAGAGGTGTTCGGTTACACCGTGTTTCATTGAATAAAATCACTAGTAAAAGTAAAACCAATTTTTTTAAAAAAGCTTTTCTCCTTACAGATACCTCACAGATTGGACATTTCTGAGAAACGCGTTAACGTTCTAGAAATATCCAAAATTCAGTGAGCTAAATACTGGGCCAAAAAATATTTGAGGTTTGCGGGGCTAGACCCTGCCGCCGGATTCCGAGTCCTGAGGTGACCCCGGGGGGCGGCGGGGGCAGCGGGGGTGGAGATCTGGCCCTCGCGGAACCAGCCTCCGCTTGGGCAGGGCCGCCACGTTGGACTTCGCCGCCGCCGCCGCCGCCGGAGGACACGCTCCAGCACGGCTTTACCTGGTCAGTTCTAGTAGCCAGGGATTTATCGGCCAGGATCCTCTCCTTCAACTCCTCCAGCTTCCCGCTGTAGGCCAGATTGCAGACCATTAGGTTAGACACACACCCCTCCATTTCGCTTACCAGTATCTCTATGACGCATCACCACTGACGCCTCCCGTCTCCGGCTCCAACTGCCAATCAAAAGAGCTGGTAGGGCTCCACCAGTCACCCATCTTCCTCGTTTGTTTGCTTCTTTTCCACCGCGGGCGTCTCTGGGAGTTGCAATGCAAGCGTAGTTCCGAGCGGGGAGACGCCTTTGCCTCTCTCTCCTACTCTGCTCCTAGCAGAACGGAACTTCAAGTCCCAGGATCCCTTGCGGCCTCCATAGTCAAGTGGCCGGTGGAATTGGCCCACGATGACAGCTGGAGAATGGAGTCAGGTACGGGGAGCGGCTTCGTGTGGAACTGGGGTGGGTGGTCGCTGTTGGGGCATTGAGTCAGCCACGCGAAACGGGTGCTTGGGTCTTAGCAAGAGAGTTAATGGGAGCCTGAAGGTCCTGTTCCACGGGGGCCCTGTCTTGCAGTAGCAGTCGAAAAGGACAACAGTAGGAGCTGAGTACTACCCCCTAAGTTCCTCTCAGTGCCTCTGGCTACTCTCCCCCTCTCCCTGCCGCCGTCAAAAGACTGGAAAGGAGTAGGGATTAATTATTATGACATCTCGGCGTAGTGGCATCAGGGCAGAACTCTGTCACAGCAGTGATAGCATATGACACCGTTGTAAGGTGATGTGCCAAGGTGATGCCAAAGGCAGGATGTGAGGCCATAGGAGCCACTTGATACCTAATTGACCTCGGTGAGTCCATGGCCTGGTGACACCATGCTTGATGAGCGTCATCTTGATACTGTGGTATGGTGCTGGTCCTTTAATTTAAGAATAATAACGATGACATCGAGGCTTTGCTAGAACTATTAAGCTAATAATGCTTCTATTTATGGAAATCCGAAATAAATAAAACAGCAGAGAAGATGCAAGGCTTATCCTTTATAGGGCATATCCAGGACGACATTATGCTAAAACTATGGTAATGATAAGAATACACTCAGGAGACTGATTATGTTTATATTTATCCTGTTGTGGTGTAGAACTGGGCCTGACAAACTTTGTGTAAAGAGCCAGATAGTAAATATTCTAGGCTTTGCAGGTGAAAAGGCAAAATTGAGGATAATTTGTAAGTACTTATATAATATAGAAAAGAAATTTCAACAAATGTTTAATGATGAAATTCAAAATACAATAATAATTGAGCACCTCTTTTGTAATACAGAGCTACTTAAGAATAATAGAATTCTTTTTTTGTGGGATACCATTTTGTTTCATTGAGGCTCACAGTCAATGTTCCCAATTATCAAAATCATTCCAAATGTCCATCTGTTAATGTTGATCTGTGATGAGATGTTTTTTTACCTATTTCATCTTTTTGAATGCCTTTTCTCATAGACAGTTACTGCCAAATACTATCAACCCACTAACATGTCCTTGTTAATTTTTATTTAAATACATTTTAAAATTTCAGAATAGCTTTAGATTTATAAGAAAGTTGCAAAGATAGTGCTCAGTTCCTTTGTACCATTCATCTAGTTTCCCCTACTGATCTTTCCCTATTTTAACAGCTTTATTGAGATATATTTTGCATGTCATAAAATTCACCTATTTCAAATGTATAATTAAATGATTTTTAGTGACTTTACTGAGTGGTGCAGCCATCACCGTAATCAGTTTTAGAACATTTTCACTCCCCCAGTAAAATCCCTCTTGCTTATTTACAGTTAATCCTCATTCCCAGTCCAATTCCCAGGTAACCACTAATCTATTTTCTGTCGCTAAAAATTTGCCTATTCTGGACATTTCATCTAAATAAAATCATACAAAATGTGGTCTTTTGTGCCTGGCTTCTTTCACTCAGCATAATATTTTTGAGGTTCACGCATATTGTAACATGTATCAGTACTTAATTCCTTTTTACTACCAAATAGTATTTTCATTTCATGGATGTAACATATTTTGTCTATCTTCTCACTAGTTGGTAGACATGTAGGTTGTTTTCAATTTTTGGCTATTATGAATAATGCTGCTAAGAACATTTGTGTGCAAGTCTTCATGTGGGCATATGTTTTAATTTCTCTTTGGTAGATATCTAAGGGTGGAATTACTGGATCATATGACAAATTTATGTTTAGCTTTTTAAGAAACTGCAAGTCTGTTTTCCAAAGCAGCAGCATAATTTTGCATCTTCACTAGGGTTTCTGTTTCTCCCCATCCTCACCATCATTTGTTATTGTCTGTCATTTTAGTATAGCCATTCTACATAGGTGTGAAATGATATCTCATTGTGGTTATTATTTGTATTTCCTTAATGATTAATGATCATGAGCATCTTTTCATGTGTTTATTAGTCATTTATATATCTTCTTTGGTGAAGTGTCTGTTCATATATTTTTTCCATTTTTTTTCCATTTTTAAATTGAGTTATTATTTTGTCTGTTTAGTGTTGAGTTGTAAGAATTGTTTATATATTCTGGATGCAAGTCCCTGTCAGATATATGATATGTCAGTATTTTCTTCCAGTCTGTTGCTTGTCTTTTTATTTTCTTAATAGTGTCTTTTGAAGTGCAAAAGTTTTGGATTTTGATGAGGTCAAATTTACCATTTTTTCTTTTATGGACCATGTTTTTGGTCTTGTATACTTAGATTTTCCAAAAATTTACAATTTAGTGTTTATTAGTATATTTTAGTGTTGTGTTACCATCACCACAATCTTATTTAAAACATTTCTATCACCCCGGAAAGAAACCTCATGCCCATTTTCCATCACTTCCCATTTCTACTCCCAGCCCTAGGCAACCACTGATCTATTTTCTGTGTCTCTGGATTTTCATTTTCTGGGTTTTCAGGCAAATAGAATTATATAATATGTGGTCGTTTGGGTCTGGTTTCTTTCACTTAGCATAATGATTTTAAAGTTTATCCAAGTTTTAGTATGTATGTATCAGTACTTTGTTGCTTTCTATGGCTGACTAATATTCCATTTTATGGCTATGCCACTTTTTGTCCATTTATCAGTTGCTAGGCATTTGAGTGGTTTCTGTCTTTTAGTTATTATGAATAATGCTGCTATAAACATTCGTGTACAAATTTCTGTGCAGATATATGTTTTCATTTCTCTTGGTACATAACCTAGGAGTGGAATTCCTGGGACATATTGGCAACTGTGTGTTTAACTTTGTGAGGAACTACCGGACTCCGCTAGAGTGGCTGCATGATTTTCTCTTCCCACCAGGATTATATGAGGATTCAAATTTCTCCACATCTTTACCAACACTTCTTAATGTCTATCTTCCATATTTAGCCATTCTAGTGGATGTGAAGTAGTATCTCTTTGTGAGTTTATTTTGTTGTTTTGACTTGTGACAGCATGGTAAGTATATAAAGCATGTGTACTTGTGTTTCAAACATGTTAGCTATCAAAATGACTTTCCTACAGTATAAGTTTCACATAGAAGTGCTGTTTTGTTTTTTAATTTTAAGTCGAATTAGTTAAGAAATGTTATTTAGTCTGCAGCAAGAGCTAATTTCCAGAGCCATTCAGTGTTTGACAGTGGTTAAAGGCAGTTATTCCAACAGTCAAAAAATGTAAAAATCATTCCTACCTTGCTTACAATATGAAAAACATGAAGTGGACTTAATTTGGTCTGCCAGATGTAGTTTGCTGATGGGTGGTATAGAATGAAAGTGACCTGTATGTAGCAGGTGTTCAGTAAATACTTATCCAGTTGATTACAGAGGTACAGAGGGCCTGTTTTGTGGTATTCACAAAGGATTGGGTATGGTAACTTTTCACCATAATAATACATCAGTTGAATGTGATTGCCCTAGAAACAGCTGAACAACAACCCAAGTGCCTTTCCTACTGAGGGACTTGGTAATCTTCCTTTATAGACAGTATGTTATACTTTTATTTATTTGACATGACATGGTGTTTAGCTTTCAATTTTGAGTCCCTTAAGGCCAAGGGTGAGGTACCCCTTGACTTTTTGAAAGCTGTCAGACAGATAGATCTCTAAGGGAGAAGGCCTCTTTTCTTTTGTTGCTGGCCCCAAGTTACAGATGACCAATGTGGTTGCTGTTTATCTATGAAGAGTCAGTGGGGACCTGTTAGGACTCCCTTGGTGATCTTGTGATTGAATGTTTCCTAATGCCTTTTCTATAGGTCACCTAGATTTTAGGTCCTAGAACAGCCAAGTTCATCATCTACACTTGAAGAATATGGCTAAGAATCTATTCATAGATCACATGTATTAGATATTTGCCTTATCTCATTTATTCCTTCACAATAGCCCTATGACGTAGGTACTGTCATTCCCCAGGCCCCACCTTTTAAAAAATGACAATGCAGGCACAGAGAATTGAAATAACATGCCTAAGGTTTGCACAGTTTAGTAGAAATTAGAGCTGAAGTTGAAATCCAGGACTATTATACACCAAGGCTTCTAACACCTAACCACTGCAACATACTACTCAATATAGGTGAAGATGAAATTATATGTAAATGCAAACCTCAGATCATGCAATGATAATTTATGCAATTCTTTGGGCTGTCATTCTACTTATGATTGTGGGGAAATGACATTTTTCATGCCCTAGGGCAATGCTGTCCTATAGAATTTTTTGTGATGGTGGAAAAGTTCTACATCTATGCTGTCTAGTATGATATATTAACCTTAAAACTGAAACTGTCAGTTATTTTACCAGCAAAAAACGAGTTTATTTGGGAATAGCAGAGAGTCGCAATTTGGGACATGCAAGCTTAAGGCAAAACCTAGGCAAACCTGGATAACAAAGGAGAAGACTGCTCTTTTACAGAGGAAAGTGGGGAGGTGAGAGGGGCTGTTATAAACAAGAAGTCCATTGGAATAAACAAAGCATTTGAAGTGTAGTAATTTCTCACTGGATGAGTTGTGATAGTATCTCATTGGTTGAGCTGTCGCCAGGTGAGGAGAAAATCATTCTTCTTCCTGCTGGGGTAGTAAAGTATAGGCTTCTTCCTGCTGAAATGTCAGGTACATCTCCTCCTGTTGGGGTCTACA